TGTAATCATCTTTTGGTTTGTAAATCTCCTGCTTACAGCAGCAAAATGCAAAGATGAATGTTGACAATGCTAGTATGATAATCTAAATTATTCAGAGAAAGCTTCTAAAAGACCTGACAGAAGCAACAAACAGAGGTTGAGGTTGTGCTTATTGCCTAGTCAATCCAAAATGTCAGTGCAAATGCAGTCAACTTGCTGAAGGTATTTCTGTGATGTGCACTGAGAAGTTGCAGTCTGTGTTAGTGCGTGCGCCCTCTGAAGTTTAGAGGACATAAGATATTGAGGGGAACTTTATTGATCCCTGGAGGGACACTGGGTCATTGCTAAAAAGTAAAAAGTAGTGGTGTAGGTGCACAAGCAGAGAGTGTTTAAACCTAAAAATCATAATTAAAAAAAACAACTCAAAGGTATTAAGGCATTGTTGTGGAGATTTCCTTAAATTATGGTTTGGCACCTTGGCAGCAGCAGCCATCATTTGATTTTGATTCTTTTTTCCACAATGGCTTTGGGGAAGATGATGGAATGACGTGTATTTCATTGGGGAAAATGAAAAAAACAACAACTTTAAAAGTGGTCTGCTGCTATTTTCTGTTTAGGTGGGTGGTCTAGCATCAGAGAATGTTCGCTGGGCAGAGGCTGTAGAGAACTTCAAGAAGCAGGAAAGGACTCTGTGTGGAGATGTTCTTCTCATCACCACCTTCATCTCCTACCTAGGATATTTTACCAAGCGCTACAGGGTCCAGCTTATGGACGGCACCTGGAGGCCGTATCTCAGTCAGCTGAAGGTGGGTTCTTTATGTGTTATTTCAACTTGAATTAGCCAAACTGCAAGAATTGTGACTCTCACAGAAGTCTTTGAAAACCTTTATTTGTAAATCTGACTGAAATGTAACACAGAAATGAATCTGCAACCGGCCCTGTTGGTCTTTCTCTATCTCTGCATGTAATTATTGTTTGCTAGTGATGTCAGGACTTTAGGAATTTTCCACAGCTAAATGTACAGTGGAAAAAACAGAAATCTGTTCAGAAAACCTTATATATATTTTATAAAATGGTTCAAATTTAAATGATTAATAATATAACTTGAGTAAATATAAGTAGCTTTTGTAAAAAAAAAAAAAAAATAGACTTAATGGATATTAATGCTTACTCAGCAGTTACAACGGGTTTGTATTGTGCAAAACATTTAGAATACTTTATGAATTAATTAGGTCATGTATCGTGGCTGATAGGACACATTAACAACTGCAGTTATAAAATGTTATGTAGTGTTGTTTATCTATTTATTATTGCTTGCAAATTGTAATGGTACTGGTAAATGTTCCATTACTGGGCAGCTGCTGGTCTTTGGGGCCACTAATAGTGTTTCCATGATTTGAGTCCACCTGTGAAGCAAACTGGCTGAAATGAACCCTCACTAACAAGCAGTGTTTTGTTACAATGTTCCCGTTAAAATGTCAGTAAAAGTCCTGCGTTGAGCTTCCTGTTTGGATTGTTAAAATGCGAAGGAAAGCAGCCCACCTCTCTTGCAGTGTGGTTGAGGCTATATTCAAAGATTTAGTTTCAAAGTATTTTGCAGATTTATATAATTAATGTAAATCTGCTAATATAATAAAATAAATAAATTAGGTTGGCTTTATTTGGAGGACAGTAAAATTTTACCCCTGAAACTTTAACTAAAGTTTCATTAGCGATCAATCGTTTTATTCATAATGGTTGTTAAAGAGATTTTCCCTGTTTGCCTGGAGGCCCAACTGAGAAAACGTTATGTTGTACATTGCTGTTCTAATTCCCACAGCACTAAACACTGCTGTTTAGTCAAACTCTATGGCATCTCAGAGATAAATACAAGGTGTCCTCTGACACTGGTGTCATGAATCACCCATCACGATGACAGATGGGTCTCACAACCAGGCAGGACCATCACATTTTGACACAACAGGCACCCTTAAGCATCCTTTTTTAAAGTGAAGGATTAAAAGACATATTTTAATCCAGAACACGATCATTTCGCAAGCCTAACTACGAAGTTTTGGTGGTTAAATCAAAACACAGATGGAAATAAATGGCAATAGAGAAAAAAAAATAAACTGGAATGTCACTGTGATGTCACTGTGATGTCACTGTGATGTCACTGTGTATCAACTGTAGTAAGAATCAGAAAATCAGGGAAAAACGGGCGAGGAAGGTAGAGACATTCATTCATAACTAGCAATATAATGCCTGTTTTCTGTGCTTGAAAATACCACGGCCGAATGTTCAGAGAAGTCCTGAGGCACAAATACAAAACAGTGGTAGCACAGATAACAAGTTGCATTGCTTTTTATCACTACCACCGTCAGCTTCTCTGACTGAGACATGTCTGTTATGTTCACTGTTCACTGATGGTTTAGCTCTTCTATTAATATTATTAAACATTAATTTTTTTGTTTTATTGTCCCACAAGGGGGAATTTGGTTGTAACAGCAGCCAGAAAAACACATATACAAACAAACAGGACACAGGACACAGAACAGAAACATACACGGTGTTTCTTACATATTTACATTAAGGACAATGGTTACTATAAACAGAGAGTACTGTACAGTTATTAAATTAAATAAAAATA